AGAGCAAGAAGCAGGTTGACCAAGCTTTGAGCTCGGTGGAGTCCGAGTACATGGCACTCTTCCGTGCCGTACGGGAGATTGTGTGGCAGCGGCGTTTGTTGGCTGAATTGGGGGAGGAGCAGCAAGGACCTACCCCACTGTACTGTGACAGCCAAGGTGCCATTGCTCTTGCTAAGAACCCTGTGTTGCATGGACTCACGAAGCACATGAGGGTGAAGTGGCATTGGACGAGGAGCATGGTAACCGCGGGTGAAGTTGAGTTGCGCTACGTGAAGACCACGGGGCAGCCGGCTGACATGATGACCAAGAGGCTGGTGGAGCAGCAGCATTGGAAGTGTTGCAAGCTGGCTGGGATGGCTCTGAACTGAGAGAGCAACATATCCTAAGGCCAACAATCCGAGGGGGAGTTTGTTGGTGCAACCCTACGGTTTGCACTCGGCTTGTTGTCCGTGTGCGTGAATGTGTGTGTGTATGGAATGGTATGAGGGCATGTGATAATATATATTTCATGCTTATAATTGTGTGTGAATGTTGAGTCATGATGTCGAGTGTGTGTGTCGAGTCAATAGCGAGTTATCGCTAGACGCGTGTTACGCGGTCGTTTGTGTCTCGCGCGCGGTTTCTATTTTGTCGTGCGCGGTTTCTATTTTGTCCTGTGTCGAACGTTCGGCGTGTCGCAGGTGTGTGCAGCAGACCCATCAAGAACTCAAGGATGAGTTTGTGATGAAGAGCCCGAGCCTTGGTGTCAAGCCTCAAGTGATTTCGAAGCTTGCCAAAAGGGTACACCTCAAGATATTGAAGATAGTTACATTACTTTGTGTAGTGTAACATTTCACTTGGTGTAGGCCCTAGTGAAGGGTAGTTTCGAGACCCTTCGTGGTTGGGGACAGTGTGGCACTGTTCCACATCACTGTACCTCGGCTCTTGGGGTTTGTAGGAGCTGGGAGTCATTCCCAACTCGTAACTCTTCCTATCTTGTGTTCTAAGACTATAGTGGCTGCCATAGTACCGTTCGTTCAAACCGACGCTGTGTCGTCAATTCGTTATCAAATCGTGCAATCTAAATTGCTAATTGTAGACGACGTGAAGACGCTCCAGATCCAATTTGAATCAAGTCATTTGCAGCTGTGAGCAGAACGCTATCAACGTTTGAAGCCGCTGTGCAGAAATCCGTCTGTGCTCTCTATCTTTCGTTTTAGGCACATTCAAGCCTATTGTGACTATAACAGCCTCTTCATCTCATTGTTCGGTGTGGTGCAGATTTTTTCGGGACCCCTCCTTGGCTGGCTTCTGCAAGGGCAGCCGCCACAAGCGCGAGGGCATCCACCTCCATTGGGAGACCTACGGACCGAGGATAACAATGGGGAGGGGAGCGTCAGGCGTGCAAGTGCGTCGGGGGGAGAGGAAATAACAAACACGGCAGCCGTTACACCTCAGCAAACTCCTCAGCGGGAAACACGCAGCTCAACGAGAGCACAAGGCATTACCTGGGGCCAGCCAAGGAGCGACCAGGCAACACCGATGCTGGCACCGTGGATCCCGGCGGGAAGACCGCAACAGGCTGGACGAGGCGAGCACAATACGGGTACAAGGGGCGGCGCAACGGCCCGCGGAGCCAGTGGAGGAGGACGAGCGGCCAGAGGGGGAAGAGGCGGAAGAGGCCCGATCGTCGGCGAAAGAGCAGCGCTCGTCAGAACGAGAACGTGGCGGGAACGCCACGAGCGACCGGAGCAAGCGGAGCCAGCAACAAATCAGAACAGAGGAGATGCTGTCAACAGCGATGAGGGGGACGACTTTGTAGCTGAATCGGCTGAGCCATCGGAGGAGATCTCGTTAGAGGACGAGAAGGATGTGCGCACGACGAGAGAGGCTAGGGGACAGAGGAGAAACCAGAGTAACGTGGTAAATCCTCAGATTGGAAACCCACAGGGGACTGGAGTTGGGGACGAGGAGGAGAATGGAGACCAGAGAGAGCCTCGGGTACGGTCGCCTTCTGACTTGGCAGAAGACCAAGCCATCTGGCAGCAGGTGGCCACGTGGATCCCCTTAAAACGTGGGGATCAACCGTTCCTGGTGCGCTGCATGCCACCCCAAATCCTACAGAGCTACACAACCTGCATCCTTGCACCACTCCTGCGTCTGACCAAGATTCCCGATTGCCCAGGTGCATGGGCGGTCCTACAGTACCTACCGAGGCTGACACTGCGTCCTCCCCCCAAACCTGTTGAAGGCAGCCGATGGTCAGCAATTGAGCAATGTCTGCACCAATTCCAACTTGGCAACTGGCAGGAGCTTTTCACAGACGCATGTGTCATCCCCGACATTGAAAACTCGACAAAGCACTAGATGGATGAAGCTGGACTTTGCGCTAGAGCTGAGGGTTTGATGAAGAAGGGGAATATTTATAAGGCAGTGGCAGCTCTACGAACTACACTGCTGGCGCAAACCAACCCAGCGACACTCACATCGCTCCAAGCGAAACATCCAGCTGCGGCCGCTGCACTACCATGACTGGTAACTGGATTCACTCGCTTGACACTTAGCGTGACCGCGGACGACCTACGCGACATCCTTGCGAAGTGCCCGAACGGAGTGGGAGCAGGACCGTCAGGCACTTGCTTTGAACACCTTAGGGATCCCGCTCTCGCTTACGGTGAAATCCTCACGCTACTCGCCCAGGTAGTTAACTACCTGCTTAGCACATACCAGACCCAGGCTATGAGGGATATTCTCCTACCATCACGACTGATCGCGCTGGAGAAACCGGGTGGAGGAGTTCGTCCGATCGCGATTGGGGAGGCAATCCTGCGAGTGGTAGCGAAAGCGGCACTTCAAGAGCTGTCCCAAAATATCCGCGACTTCTTTTTACCAGTCCAGTTCGGGGTTGCTGCAACGGGAGGAGCAGAGTGTATCATTCACTCTGTCCGTGCCTTGCTTAAGGAGGACGATACACGGGTGGCGTTGCAACTGGATATTGAAAACGCATTTAACAGATTGGAACGCGCGGCATTCTTCACAGCGCTCTCCCATTCAAGCCTGCTGCCGCTCCTACCGTTTGTCAGGACCTTATACGCGGGACCGTCACGGCTCCTGGTTGACCAACTCTTCGGCGTCGACCATGAGTGCGACAAGGAGACCCTTTAGGTCCACTTCTCTTCGCAGCCGCGATCCAGCCGGCCCTGACCTGCACCGCGACCCTGCTCCCTGAGGTGGCGGTGGTCGCCTATGCGGACGACATCACGATAGTGGGGCCGAAGGAGGTGGCGTACGAGGCGTTCAAAGCCATCACCAGGGACTTAGCCGCGGTCGGCCTACGCTGCAACGTCGCCAATTCGTCTGCATGGAGTCAGACAATGGTAGAGGAGAGGGACACCACACCAACCCTCGGACTGCAGCAAAGCCAGGAGGGGATTCAAGTTTTGGGGAGCCCAATTCGCCTACCTACGTTCTGCACTATCCAAGTCCAAGCCCGGCTGGAGGATGCATCACTGACACCACCACTGGTGGTGCAGCTTCACCCGCAGAGCGCCATGCTTATCTTGTCAAGGAGCATCTCCCGCCGAGTATTGTACCTACTCAGGACAACACCGGCAGATACCCTGGAGAGAGATAGGTGGAGAAGCTGGAGTGAGGCCCTGTTGGCGACGGCATTTGCAGCAGCTAAGCTCGGGGCCCCTGCAGGTGAACTGGCGCGGAGCCTATTATGGCGCCAAGGGACCCTACCGGTCAGGCTGGGGGGACTTGGAATAATAGACCCCACCTCCGAGGCCCCTGCAGCCTATATTGCCTCAGTAATGGCGGCACAGCAACTGCTACGTGGGATGAACCTCCCAGAAGACTACCTCCTGAGCCGAGCGGTGAGGCTTCTGGACCATGGTTGGACCCCGGACCCACCAGGGGTCAACCCCTTGACTACACTGGAAGCAGCATTGCCCCCTACAGCACGAGTGGCGCTACAGGCGTTTCGAGAGCAGCCAACTGAGAAGAGCAGCCTTCAACTCACTCTGTCCCGGCACATCAATGAAGCACGAGTAGCAGAACTTCTGGCCGACACGATTGAGGATCGGCCCGGGAAGGACCACGGGCATGCCATACGCCTCATCAGCCTTCAAGGGGTGGGGGCAGGTGACTGGCTCCATGCCGTACCAACACGAACTGACCTTGAATTTGCCCCTGGTCAGTTCTCGTTAGCACTCGGCTTTCGCCTAGGCATCTCCCTCCCTGTGACAGTGAAGTGCCCGTGCAAACGAGACAACTCCGACATCAAGGACACGAACCTACCGAACCACCTTGTCCGCTGCGGGCAAGGAGGTGATGCAGTCCGTACCCACAATGCCCTGGTGTACGCCCTACTGAGGATGGCGAAGGAGGCCGACTTCACAGTCTTTCACGAGACCACCGCCTTCTCCCCCCCAGTGATCAGGAAGAGGGGTGACCTCACGATCAGAGATAAGGAATCTAATGAGACGTGGGTGACAGATGTAACAGTGACGGACCCGGTCCTACAGTGCCGCGACAAGAGGGCTAGGAAACCACCTGGGTGGGCGGCAAGGGAGGCCTCAGAGAGGAAACACAGGCTATACGAGGGGCGGCCAGATTATGTGGGGTTCTTCGGTGTGGTGCAGAAATTTTCGCTCGTTCAAGAGAGCGAGAGAGAGAGAGAGAGGATCCTAGCCTCTGCCCTCTCCCTATAGCCCTCTGCCCTCTCCCTTGTGAGCTATATAAGAGGCCTCTCTGGGCCTCTTCATCTCATTGTTCGGTGTGGTGCATATTTTTTCGCTCGTTCAAGAGAGCGAGAGAGTGAGAGAGAGGATCCTAGCCTCTGCCCTCTCCCTATAGCCCTCTGCCATCTCATTGTGCGTGAGGGGAAGGCAAGCGCACGAGGCGCAACAAGAGTTACTATAGCATCGGCATACACACATGGCAAGAGTGGAGTACAACTAAAGGTGCGGTAATGGGGCAACAGGAGAATGCAAACAGGGAAGAGGCCCCGGCGGATCCTAGAATTGATCCGCGTCATGAACTGCAAGGAGCCCAGTCTGAGAGCGGTGAAGCTCCCGCACCACCGCCGCACTTGCGCCGATCACTTTGTCTCCAGTACCAGCGCGCAGGACCCGCTTCAACCCACGAACAGCCGTACCAAGCTGTCCAACGCCCGCAATTACACACCGTGCGGGCGCAGCCAGCACGGGCGCCAGGAGCTCGGCGAGCCGATCCGCCGCATCGAGGCACTCATCCTGAGGGCCTCCATCCAGGGAATTCCCCCGGAACAGAGCAGCATGGCCGTACACCTGGATCAGGTGAATGGCACGAAGGGCCTCACAGAGCCGCCACAACTGCGCCAGGCTCGCTTCCGGGACCTCAGCCATGCGAGGAGGCCCAGGCAAGGTCGGGAGGATCAGTGCATCGAGAGCAGACGGGGGAGCGGGATCAGCAGGCAGCAGGAGCAGGAGCAAGGCGCTGCACTTCCCTCTCGTCGCGTATCGCCGCTGAGACAATACGCTGCACGCCCGCGAGGGAGATCGGCTGGACATACGCCGCGCCGCCACCATAACCACGACCTCCCGCCCATCCCCCACGACCGCCACGTTGCGCATGCCAGTTCGCCTGCGAACGGTTGCGCCGGGGAGAATCACGACGGCGTCGTGACGACTCCCGCTCCTCACGAGGCGCAGGAGAATGCGGGCGAGAGGAGTGCTGGCCCTGCTGTTGACCCACAGGTGCAGCAACAAGCGCCGCCTAGACGGCCCCCGCTGGCGACACATTCGAACCCGGGCCGCCAGTGGTGGCGGACACCGCCATTGGCGACGAACCAACAGCCGCGTCGGGTGCAACAGGGACAGCAACGGCGGGCAGTGCCGCAGGGAGTTCGGGCACGGGCGGCGCAACCACAGGCTCAGCAACAGCATGCGGTGCCGCAGGATTCACAGGGACAGCCGGCGGACCAGGAGCAGAGGGTGCGGGACCCGCAGGAGGGCCCGGCTCAGCAACAGGGGCAGATGGGGCAAGCAGGAGAGATGCCGGAGCCTCACACGACACGAGGTCCGGAGTCGGAGACGCAGAGACATCAGCGACCGCGGGCGCTGGCTTCGGGGCAGGGGGGACCGGTGGCTTCAATGCAGCACTCCCCGATGCATACACCGGCGGTGACCTTCCGCTCGCCGCTGATGCAGCGGCAGCGGGCTTTGGCGATGGCCACGGGTCGCCAGCAATCACCATCGCGGGGCAGAAGGAGACGAGGAGCAGGACGCCGCGAAGGACGCGGAGTGGAGGGCGGACCGGAGAACGCGTTCCAAGCGGCGGCGCGAAGGGCTTTAACACAACTCGACGAGAACACTGACCCAGAGGAGCAAAACGATCCGTCTTATAGGGAGGAAGCACAAGAGCCGAGCGAGGAGGAAGACGAGGAGGAGGAGAGAGAACAAACGACGGGACGAAGTAGAGGGAACCAGAGAGGATTGGAGGTGCAAGCAGGAGGCGCCCGTGGGCCACAGGATGCAGATCCGACGGTCAGCATTCCAACCCCGGCTTCTACCCGTACTTCGAGCCCCGCGGGCGCACGAATCGAACCGCGAGGGATCAGGTGCACGCGGCTTGCCAGTCCCAAAATCCGCGCTATTTTTCGCCAGAGGAGCTGGCGAGGCAGACTGAAAAAATCGCCGAGGTGGCGGGGTGGGACATTTCGCCACTCTGCGATAGTCGCCAACTTACTCTGTTACGACGGCTACCGCCAAACTTGTGTGAGATCTTTTCGCTCGCAGTGCTGACACCACTCCTACACCTCTCTCGAAGCCCAAATTCCATCGCGGGTTGGAAGTTACTCTTATTTCTCCCGCGCCTGACACTGCGACAGGGTTCGCCGAAACGAACTGATTGGCCCAAAATCAAGGCACGGCTCCGTGCATTTCAACGCGGCGAGTGGCAGCAGCTGTATTTGGACGCGGTTGAAGCAGTCAACACACCACCCCCACCACGTCACCAGCCTGACGACGTGGGCACCATCAGCAGAGCGGAGGGCCTGGCAAAGAAAGGGAGTCTGCGCCGGGCCGTGTTGGCGCTCGAGTCAACACCAGTCTGTACGCCCAGCCCAGAGATTCTGGAGGAACTCCACCGCAAGCACCCCGCAGCCGACCCTGAACCCCTGACCTGGCCTACCACCACCGAACCTCCCAACCTCGAAATTTCCTACGCGGATTTTTCGAAGATGCTAAGCCGATGCGAGAACGGCGTCGGGGCCGGCCCGAGTGGAATGACATTCGAACATCTTCGCATCGTCAGTAACAAATGCATCCGTCTTGACCCATCTGCACGCCTTAGTAAATACGATCCTGAGGAGGAAACTGCCGCTGCCAGTTGCAGAACTGCTCACATCATCACGTCTGATAGCTCTGGCCAAACCAGAAGGTGGGGCTCGCCCAATAGCGATCAGAGAAAGCCTGACCCGCCTGACTGCAAAAGCTGCACTGGCAGCCCTGGGCAAAGCGGCGCGGGGTTATTTTCTCCCTCTTCAGTACGGTGTAGCTGTCCTAGGGGGAGCGGAGGCAATCATTCACTGCGCACGTGCATACACGGATGCACACCCCACCTGCCTTACCCTACAGACCTATATTTCCAACGCCTTCAACAGTATATCGAGACAAGCCATAGTAACTGCTTTACAAGACCCGACACTTTCACCCCTACTGCCTCTAGTCAAACTGACATACGGCCACCCATCATCACTATACCTAGACGCTAGCTTCAGTAGCGCACCACTGACAAGTGAACGCGGGGTGCGACAGGGGGACCCCCTAGGTCCGCTTCTGTTCGTGGCTGGGATCCACCCCGCATTGAGAGCAACAGCAACAGCACATCCCGGCGTACTGTGCCTGGCATACGCCGATGACGTCTGCTTCTTAGGCGAACACCGTGAGACCGTCGCTGCCTTTTCGTATTTCACAAGCCAACTTTCCCAAGTAGGTCTGCGACACAACCCGGGGAAATGTGTCGCATGGAGCAACCACCCGATAGACCAGGAAGTGCAGTTGCCGCCCGGGGTGCCGACTAGTACTGAGGGCGTCCGGCTTCTCGGTAGCATCCTAGGAACATCAGAAGGCGCCGCCTCCTTTTTAACCACGCAACTACAGGCGATGTCCAAACCACTGCCACTGATAGAACGAATGGACCCGCAGATCGCATCTCTCCTCCTCACCTGCTGCATTTCACGCCGAGTAGCATATCTCACGCGAACGACCCCTCTGCATCTTCTAGACAGGGACACTTGGTCCCAGTGGGGTAGGGACCTGCTGGCCACCCTCCTTTCGGCATGCGGCATACGCTTACCAACGGACGGCACGGAACAGACCCGGGTCTGGGAGCAGTCGTCACTCCCACCGTCGCTAGGGGGCATAGGACTCACAGACCCCACGGTGGAAGGAACATTTGGCTTCCTAGCCAGTTTTACGCAAGCATCTCTCCTCCTTAGTGCCCTGCCGCTGGAGTCAGAGGTGGCCTTGACAGCGGCTAGGAATCACATGCTGCTACCGCGAGATGTCACCACCGCTCTACACCGCTGGCTGACCGAATGCGAGAGAGCACTGCCGCACGAGGACAGGGACGTCCTAGACAAGGAAAGACTCGAGCCTTCAGATTTAAAGCTGCAGCACGAGCTCGGGGTGAGAGTGCAGGGGAGCAGATATGCAATACAGGTACAGGCAACACGGCGCATGCGGCTGAACCCATTGTCAGGCCATACCCAACGGTTCTTCTCTCTCACTAGCTACGGCACGGGGACTCGCTGACAGCAATCCCAATAGAACATACCCGCAGAGTAGGTCCCGAGCACTTCGCCAATGCCGTCCGCTTTAGACTGGGGCTTCCATTCTCTACACCTAAAAACTGTGATTGCTCTAGGCATGTCGAGATCAAGGACCCACGACTGCCTAACCACCTATTCCGCTGCGGCACGGGCAAGCACAGAATCAACACCCACAATGAACTACGGGATGCATGTATTACAATGGCGCAGGATGCTGGCTTCATAGTTCACAGTGAATCGGCTGCATACTGCCCCATAGAAGAACAGACCGCCGACTTCACCATGCGTGATAGGAGCTCGGGGGTGCTCTACGCCTGTGATGTCACCATCACGGATCCCATTAGCACCCGGGGTCCCAATGCTACTAAGGGGAGGGGATGGGCAGCAAGGGAGCAGGCCGACAAGAAAATCAGCCACTACGCTAACCGGCCTGACACGGTCGGCTTCTTCCCCCTCGCTATTGAAACGTACGGCTGCCCCTGTGCGGAAGTCCCTAAATTTCTGAAGCTACTGGCGGACACAGCTGCTAGGCGTCACTTCAACGCCCAACCTACCTCTCACCATGCAGCTAGGTTCCTTCACCTCTTCAGGCAGCGCTGGTCCGTGGCTCTGCAAAGAGCACAGCCGGTGGGATACCTCATCAAGTCCTCTCAAGCGGGCGTAGCTGAAAAATCCCCCCGTGGGGGGGGGTGCAGTCCGAGCTCCACCTTGGGGACTGCTGTACTGTACTAGAGCCTCTCATGGAGGTGTAGAGAGACACTTGTGTTTTTGCTTGTTAGTTTCTGTGCTTGTTTTGCCTTTCAATCCTAGCAATAGCTTGCATGAATGTACCCTTCGGTTATATCAATACACGGACCATTAGAAAGCGTGAGAGAGAGATAGAGAGAGGGGGAGAGAGAGGGAGAGAGAGAGAGCAACAACTGGAACACCTCTCCAAATGACATGCTATAAATTGCATCTACAGGAACAACTGGTTCACTAGCTTCAGGAGCAACAGGCTCACTTGCTACTGGAGCAACCGCCTCACTAGCGATTGGAGCTGCTGGCTTCACGCACCCCCCCCCCCCCCCCCCCCCCCCCCCCCCCCCCCCCCCCCCCCCCCCCCCCCCCCCCTCTCTTCAAGCTCCCTCTCACTGCAGCAAAGGCGGATGGACAGCAGGAAGTGCAGGCAGAGCAGGGGCAGCGGAAGTGAGAGGAGGAGGAGGGCGCGGGAAAAGGAGGAGGAGGCGGCTAAGAAGAGGAGGAGGCAGCTGAGAGGAGGAGGAGGCGGCTAAGAGAAGTAGGAGGTAGCTAAGAGGAGGAGAGGCGGCTGAAGTTGTTGGAAGTGGACTCCTGCCACTCCTTCACCCTTCCCCCCAACGCGGCAGGCATAGTAGGTGCAGTAGCAACGAAAGCTGAAGCTCCAGAGGAGGAAAGGGAGGGGTGGGGGTCAAGGGGGCTTGAGCACCCCCTCATCCACGACCGCCAGTCCCGCCACCTCCCCCCTCACAGCGTCCACCACGGCAGGGCGCGGTAGAGAGGGTAGTGCAGGGCAGCGTGGACGTGCTCGCTGGCGGGTCCGCTGGCGCGCGTGTTGGCGGGCTCGTTGTCGCGTTGGCAGGCCACTGGCGGGTTCGTTGGTGGGCCCGCTGGCGCGCTGGCGAGTTTACTTGCTCCCGTGTCCTTTCCTCCCTCGTTACCGACCCCACTGCTCCTCCTTCCTCAGTCTCTCCTCTTGTCACTGCTGTCGTTGACTTTTCCTCCACATGCCGCCTTGACTACGCCACTCAGTTGGTCTCTGCTCCCTCCTGTCTACCGTCCCTGGGGGGTGCTCCTGCCCTTGGCTATGACGTCCTCGAGGACATGCAGGACGAGCTGGCTTTCCTTGCAGCCGCTGCTCCTCATCTCTGTTTCAAGCTACTGGCCCCTGAGAGTGACCCAGACACTCTTGACATCTCGACAGCCCGCACCTACTATGGGTTTCTCAATGGATAGCAGCCATGGACAAAGAGATGGCATCTTGGAGGTCCATAGGCACGTTTGTCGACGCAGTTCCTCCTCATAGAGCAAACGTATTCAATGGCATGTGGATCTTCAATGTAAATCGGCCATCTAGAGAGCCGCATGTCTTCAAGGCGCACTACATGGCTAGAGGCTTTACTCAGCGAGAGGGGGTAGACTTATTTCATACCTTCTCCCCCACCCAAAAGTTGGCCACTCTTCATGTACTGCTACACATTGCGGCACAGCGCGACTACGAGCTTCACGCGTTTGACAAGGGAGCTTGGACGAGCAGGTCTTCCTCCATCGCCCACCTTGCTTCGTTGGGTCTTTTCCTCTTGGAAGCCACTGGAGCCTTCAACGGCCCATCTACGGTCTGCGACAGGCTCCTCGTGAGTGGCATGACACACTGCGTGCTACTCTGGTTGACCTTCGGTTCTTC